TCTAGTGCTAAAAAAAAGAATTGACAGTTGCAAATTATATTTGGCAAAACTGTTTGGGAACAAAGAAAGACTTTCTTAGATCTTAGATAAAGGAAAACTAAGTATTTGTTGCTAGTGGAGTGACCCTTAGAAATAGCTTAAGGAAGTGCTCACAAAAGAGAAGATGTAAGGGGAGGAGGCTTGGCATTCAGAAGTGAAAGAACAACAATGGAATAGAGAAGAGGGCATAAAACATACTGACCGCCTCCTGGCTTTTTTTAAAACATATTTTCTCATTTTTATTTTATGTGTATGTGTGTATTGCCTGCATGTAGGCAAGTGCACTCATGTCGTGCAGTGTCCACAGAGGACAGAAGAGGCTGTTGGATCCCCTGGAACTGGAGTTACAGACAGTTGTTAGCTGCCATGTGGGTGCTGGGATTTGAACCCAGGTCTTCTGCAAGAACAGTCAGTGCTCTTAACTGCTGAGCCATCCCTCTAGACCAAGACATTTTATTTTTTTATGCATGTCTATATTTTTTAACCTGTTCTATGTATGCAGGTACGCATATATATGCATGAAGAGGCCAGAGGACAACTTTAGGCATCATCTCAGGACCACCATCCACCTCCTTGAGACAGGGTCTCTCTTTGGCCTGAAGCTCACCAATTAGGCTAGACTGGCTGGCCAGCAAGTCCCAGGCATCCTTCTGTCTCCACCTCCTTGGTACTGGGATTAAAAGCACATGTCAGTTTATGCCTGGCATTTTCCTATGGGTTCTAGAGATCAAAGTCAGGTCTTCATGCTTGAGACTGGAGAGATGGCTCAGCAGTTAAGAGACAGACTGCTCTTGCAGAAGACCCAGGTTTGATACCCAGCATCCACATGACAGCTAACAACTGAGTAACCCATTGGTAACTTTAGTTACATGGGATCCAACATTCTCTTCTGACTTCTGAAGGATTTAAAGAATAAAAAGCAGACCTCCCTTTGTTCCCTGGGCTGCATAGCTTCTGGTGTCCTGGTGCCAGCACCTTTCCTGGGGTTTATACTGAGCTCAATATTGTATAACTGTATTAATTCAACTGTGAACCTAAAAATTTACAGCCACTTTTGAAAGAGATGTATTTTTGCTCTGGAAATTGTTATTGAATATGTTAAAGGTGTAATGAAATGCCTCTTCTAATCAGGTGGTTATTAAAAAAAGAAAAGAAAAGAAAGCCTGGCATGGTGGTGCATGCCTGTAGTCCCAGTACTTGGAAGGCAGAGGCAGGTGGATCTCTTTGTGAGTTTGAGGCCAGCCTGGTCTACATCGTGAGTTCCAGGCCAGCTGGGGCTACAAGGAAACCCTGTTTCAAAAAGACCAAAAAAAAAAAGAAAGAAAGAAAAAAGAAAAAAAAGTGAGCTGGGTGTGGTGGCACACGCCTTTAATTCCAACACACTGGAGGCAGAGGCAGGTGGATGAGTTCAAGGCCAGCATAATCTACATAGTGATTCCAGGCCAGCTGGGACTACAGAAGACCCTGTGTCAAAAGACCAAGAAAAAAAAATAAGTAAATGAAGTGGAGAGGGTCGGGGCTCAGAATGTAGCTCAGTGATAGAGTGCTTGCCTAGAATATGTAGGACCCTGAGTTCCATCCGCAGCATTGTAAAAAAATCAAAATGGGTTAGAGGATCTTAAATGGAAGTAAGAATTCAGTAGTTCATTCAGAGTAAACTTTGATACCAGTAATACATGTGTACTGTAGATAATACAGCAGCTACTATGAAAACTATACATGTGCTCCAAAGCAGTATTTTAAAAACTAAAATGGAATTCTAAAATTTTTTAGGTTTATTTATTCTTATTTTATATATACATAAAGTATTCTGCCTGCACATATGTAAGTGTATCCTTTCCTGCAGTGCCTGCAGAGGTCAGAAATGGGCATCAGATTCCCTGGAACTGGAGTTACAGACAGTCATGAGCCACCATGTGGATGCTGGGAACTGTCCCAGGTCTTCTGCAAGGCTCTTAACTGCTGAGCCATCTCTCCAGCCCCTGTTGTTTTGTTTTCTAAAACAGGTTCTCATTATAGGTCTTGCTAGCCTACAACTTGCTATGTAGACCAGGCTGGTCTTGAACTCACAGACCCAAGTGCTGGAATTACAGGCAGGTACTGTTATTCCATGTTTATATGGTGCTGGGGACCAAACCCAGGGCTTTGTGCATGCTAGGTAAGCAGTATATCCTCAGCATCCTTCTTTTGCCTCCATCTCCTGAGTGCTAACATGAGTAACAAAAGAGTTATTGAGTCAGACATGGTGGTGCATGTTTTTAATCCCTGCACTCAAAAGGCAGAGGCAGACTGATCTCTTTGAGTTCAAGACTAGCCTGGTCTACATACTGAGTTCCAGGCTAGCTAGGGCTGCATAGTGAAACTGTCTCAAATGATCTCTTTTTTAAAAAACAGAGTTATTGATTTATAGGAATAATTTATTCTCTTTGTGTTTGGTATGAGGTTCAAATATTCTGTTTGGCATTTGCCTTTGGATTTTATTTTCTTTGTTTTTCTTTATTCTTAATCTTTTGTGACTCTGGATTTTGTGCCAATCAGAAAGTTCTTTTTTATAATAGGCTTTCAAATTTCATAGTATTTTAATACTTGCAGGCATAGTCCATTGAAATCTGGAGTAAGTCTTCCATAAGAGAGGAGTTTGTGCTGCCTTAGGCTGGTGACTTTATTTTCACCCAGGGTCTGTTTCCATGGGTTTCCTCAGCCTTGTTGGAAATCTAGGTCACTGCTAGAACTCAAGCAGGTTAATCTCACATCCTCTGTAAAGTGGTTCTTTACAGGGAAAGGAAGTAAGGGAAGGACAGTGGATGATCTGGCTCTTGCCCCATCTCTCAGCAACCTTTATTCTAAGAGATAGACTCCAGTAGAAAAGGATTTTTGTCCCCTTTGTACTCTGGGAGCTGGTGTCTGGGTGTCAGAAGCTCTTTGCTAGGTTTCAGGGGAAGAGAAACCAAACTTTAAGGGCTGTTTTCCTTTCAGTGATCAACAGTGCAAATCCTGCTTAGATTGCTTCAGCACAGGACAAGCTCTTGGGAACCCTCAAACCATCCTCTAACCCAGAGAGAGCCTGGGATCTTGTCCATATTTCAGCAGCATCGCCCTGCAGTGTTCTTCAGAATGGAGTGCTAGTTACTGGTCTGTGTCTATTAAAACTTGCATTTTCAAAGTGGGTATAAAAACACATTTGCTTAGAATAATTCCGATTTACTCCCCACACCTTAGGAATAGCCAGGCAAGAAGAAGGAAAGGCTGATGTTGGTGTGACCGGAAATGACATCACTACCCCACCAAACAAGGAGCTACCACCAAGCCCAGAAAAGAAAACAAAGGTAGGTGCTGGAATGGATGGTAGTTATCTTTTGCTGTAATTTTTAAAAAACAGAACCTTTTGCTATTATTGCTTGAATCATGAATGCAATTTCTTTTTTTCTGAGCTGTTACAAGTCTTTTTTCAAATTTAGTTGTGCCTTGAAATATATTTTCATTTTATCATATCCCAAATGTTAAATTTTCTGCCTTTACCTTTTCATCATATATATGTATAAAAATGTTTTTTAGAGGTTTCTGTTTGCTTACTGTGCTGAAGATGAACCCCAGAGCCTTCTACTTGCTAGGCAAGTGCTCTGCCTCTGAGCAGCAACCCCAGCCCATGGTATTTTCAGATAGGGTTTTTACATGTTGCCCAGGCTGTCCTCAAACCCTGGATCCACTTGCCTCTCTCTTCTGAGTGCTGGAATTACCAGTGTGCACTACCATACCCAATATATAGGTGTTTTTCTTCCTCTTAATAACAACAAAAAGTAATTGTAGATGTATTCTGAAGTATATTCATGAGAAGGAAATAAAGTTTTAAAAAATGGATCATAGCTTCAGAAACTTGTACTTATTAAACACTCAGGTGCTGCATTTTAGGATATAATTATATTGTCTCATCAAGATAGTCTTTAAATGCAGGGCTCGGTGACCATGTCTATAATCTCAGCAGTTTGGGAGCCTGAGGCTAGAGGATCATGATTTGGGTGTCAGCCTATGTAACATAGCGAGATCCCATAAAATAAATGAAATAAAGATCCAAATAATAATGTTTTAATCACTTGCTGGTAATTTTATTTTTAGAATTCTTATAGCCACCAGAAGAAGTTAATTAATGATGAAAGCTGTTATTGAATTTTAAAATGTTTAGGACCCAAACCACTAGAAATTCTGGAACTGTGATTAAGAAAGAATTTCTATAGACCTACGGGCATAGCTCAGTAATAGAACATGTACTTAGCATGTGAAGACCCTGGGTTCAGTCCCCAACACTAAGAAGAAAAGAAAAAGAAAATGCAGTTTGTTTCCCTCCACCCTGGTGTCACTCCACTATTTACTGAGCTCAGAAGAAAGGAATGCTAATTTTCAGTTGCACTGATCCTCATTGCTTATAATTTTACTTTGAATTGTGCAATTTATACTTTTTTTGTTTTTATTCTTGTCTCTGTGTTTGACGTTGGTCTTTAAAAAAAATAAAAATAAAAATGTAAAACACCAACCATCAACTTAAAGCCTTTGGCCACCACTCAACCTGCAAAGACTTCAACATCGAAAGCCAAAACACAGCCCACTTCTGTCCCTAAGCAGCCAGCTCCCACCACCCCTGGTGGGTTGAATAAAAAACCCATGAGCCTCGCTTCAGGCTCAGTACCAGCTGCCCCACCCAAACGCCCTGCTGCTGCCACTGCCAGGCCTTCCACCCTGCCTGCAAGAGATGTGAAGCCAAAGGTAAGTAGTCACCCAAATTCTGTGCTAAGAGTCCCCTCTGAATTTCAGGTAGATAGATAGGTTCCTGTTGCCGCCAGATGATGACCTGGTAGAATTGGGAATGGGTGAGGGAAAAGGGAATGGGTGCTTTGAAAGTCAGTGTGGGTGCCCATCAATGGTGCCTCAACACTAAAACCTTTTATTCTTTTTACCTTTTCTGTCCTGGTTAGAGGCAGTATTCCATCATTTTTATTCTTTCTCTCAACTGTTCCTTAATGTTTGCCTATTTTATATACTTTGTAACAAGTTTTCTTTACCATACATACTAATCAGATGCTGTTTGGGGTACAATTCTCACATCAAATTCAATCTTTGCCTATCTCTTTAATCATACTGCAGAATAGATTTTACTCATTTCTTAGCAACATACTGACTTTTCCAGCTCAGCAGGTTCCAGCATCATGTAGCAATGTACTTTGCTTTTTTGTTGTTGTTGTTTTTTGGTCTTTTGCCACAATATACTTTGCTTTAGCTTTAGGCTACTTCTCACTGAGCTACTTCTAATGGTCTGCCTTTCCAGGTCACCCACACTTTCTTTGCTGCCCAGAAACCGGTCACATTTAGAACCACCTTCCCTTTCAGTGTTCCAAGAGAAGGAGTTGGCTGGGTGGAGGCTCTGGCTGCCTTCCTTAAGCTCTGATTTTATTTGAGAAAGGCCTTTAGTTTAGCCTAGTGGTATCATTAAATTCATGATGGGAAATGTTTCCCATGTTAACAGGATAGTGTTCTAGGTTAATCTTTAAAGTGAACCTAGGATTTGTAGTCTTAAATTGAAAACCTGGCCAAGAAACTGAGAAATCCTATCATAGATGAGAAATGATAATACTTTCTGAGACTTATCTGTCCAGGTGGCTCCCTTTTTGGATCTGTAGGAAACAATTTATTTGATTAAGGACATGCCGAGAAGGTGACTGGTATCATGGGCAAGCAGGCCCTTGCCAGGGCTTTATCAGCAGCTTCTCCTGGTGAGGAAGAGGGTGTAGAGATAAGGAGATGTATCTAGTGAAGTTTCACTCTTTAACAGCAAAAATGAAGTGCATTGTACTAGTTCCTGTTATACATTAACTCATTGAATAGTCTCAATCATCCATAATGTAGACATTATTGTCTTCATTTTATAATTGAGGAAGCTTAAGCTCTGTTAAATCACCTAAAGTCCATGCTAATAAGTGATAGAGACAGGATTTGAGCCTGGGGTCTAATTCCATTTCTGATGCTTAGGCCTCCACAACATTGTTTTATTACGACTTTTTGCTATATAGCCTTTAAACAGCATTTTAAGATTTAGGTAGCTGCCTTAAAGAGGAGATGTGTAACCAAACATGGTGACATACTTGTAATCAAAGCAAGCAGGAGACTGAGGCAGGAGGATTTTGAGTTCAAGGCCAATTTGAGCTACAGAGCAAAAAGGAGGTGGACCCACATTATAAGTTTTCCTGTTGTTTGTCCTTCAGATAAAAGGTAGATGAAAATACTTTAAGAAACTGGTTAGGAACTAGAGTATAATAAAGTCACTTTTCCCATTATACTGGTAGAAAGATTTGTAGAAGCAAAGAGGGAGAAACATTCTATTCCAAAAAGTAAATAGTTCTCTGATCTGACAGAGAAGAACATGTCAATCAAGAAACAGCAGAATAACTGTTTATAAGGGCAGTCTATTCTGATAGCTTATGAGGCCAAGATCCTGGTGTCTGATGAATGCCACATCCTTCAGAGATTCCTTTATCACTATTACTCTGACTAGCAAATTAGTAACACTACATTAGGTAGTTCTGAATCATAGTAATTATATTGATAGTTTGGTTTGGTCCTCACACCTTCAAGCAGAGGCTGGAGGGATGGCTCAGTGGTTAAGCATGCCTGCTGCTTTTTAGAGGACCCAAGTTCAGTTCCCAGCATCCACATCAGGCAACTCAGAACCACTTCTTACTCCAGCTCTAGATCTGATGCCCTCTTCTGGTCTCTATGGGCATCCATACACATGTGACATACATAAATAATTTTTTTTTAAACCCAGACCTTTAGAGCAGAGAAGGAATCAGTGCTCCTGACTCTGCTCCTCAGTTTCTTCATACTGTACTCAGCACCTCCATTTATGGAACCAGGCACAAACCTGTATAGGCAGGGTAAGACTTAATTTGTTTGGATACCAGCCCATAATTTATTTCTTTTTTGTTTTTTTTTAATTTTTATTTAATTTTATGTATATGAGTGTATTGCCTGCATGTAGGTAGGTGTACATGTCATGCGATGTCCATGAAGGTCAGAAGAGGGCGTTGGAGCCCCTGGAACTGAAGTTAGGACAGTTGTTAGCCACCATGTGGGTGCTAGGAACCTGGGACTTCTGCAAGAGCAGCCAGTGCTCTTAAGCACTGAGCCATCTCTCCAGCCCCTTAATTTATTTCTAAGCACTCTCCTAACTGACTCTGTTTAAACAGTATCCTATTTTTGCTGTTGGTCAGGCCTGCCCCATCTCACCACCATTCTGCTGTCAGTCTCTCCATCCTCCATTCCTTAATACCACATGCTCTCCAGTTGGGCTGTAGCAATGCTGTGCTCTGATCTATCCAAGAACATACTGTAAGTTAGGATCCAGACTGAAGCTGTAGCTCAGGCTCTGACCCAGATTTGACCAGTAGCCACTCATCTGCAAGAGTGCTGTACTGTCCAGGTTCTCTGGGTGCATGTTAGCCAAAAGTATGGCTGAGGTAGGCAAAAATAATTTTTGGTTTCTGGTTCATGTTTATTTAATCTTATCTGGTCAGTTGTTTTGCAGTAGATCCCAAAGCAAAACTAGGTTGTGGTGTGGTACACCCTCAGGGCTATTTATTTGCACTGAACTGAAGTAGATTGACTCTGCTTCCTAAACACAGATCACACAGCACCCTTACATGGCTGCTTGTTCTGAATGACTTTCTTGGGTTTTGTTCTTGTTTTTGTGAGGCAGTCTTACTCTGGCCCAGGTTGGTCTCTAGTTCACTGTATAGCCTATGCTACCCTGAAACTCATGACCATCCTCCTACCTCAGCTTCCCAAGTGTGCTGACATTGCAGGTATCAACCACCTGGCCCCAGTTTTCTATAGTACTTTGACCTTAGAACCGTAATATTTTCATGTCAGTCACTGCCAAGTCCACAGTGCCTCTGCTTTCTAGTACATGCCATTGCTGATCTTCAGCTCTTACTCCCAATTTCCCATTTCCAGCCCACTGCAGAGGCTAAGATTTCTGAAAAGCGAATCTCACCATCGAAGCCCATATCTGTCCCAGCCCTCAGACCTGGACCCAAGACCACCCCAGCAGTCTCAAAAACCACATCTCCTGCAACTCTTACTTCCACTGGACCAGGCAGTCGAAGCCCCGCCACACCCCTGCCTAAGAGACCCAGCAGTGAGTACTTGCCTGCTCTTCTCATGAGACCCTGTGGGAAGAGAACAGGGCCTTGCTTCTGGATGTAGCCAAAACACTGTACCTTTATGCAGCTCAGTGTGGTACATTTCACAGGGGCAGTTAGGGAGGTCTAGTGTTGAACAAGTCATCATCTCCATGTGAGCTTTAGCAGTTGTATATATTTAGAAAATGCTTGAGCAAAGGGGACTCTCCTGAATTCTCAGAGTTCTTTATTCCTTTCTTAGTGACTCCACAGATCCCAGTATGTTGTATCCGTGGGTTCAGGTTAAGAGTGCAGCACCATTGGTTTAAAAAATAAATAAATAAACATTTCTTAGCATGTATGAGATCCTAGGTTCAGTCTCCAGCACTGCACAAAAGAAACAGGCAATTTAATTTCATAGGCATATTTCCCAAGCTACTTCTAAAGCCATATGAAAGTGATTGTCAAGACAGGAGCGCACCAGACACAGAGCCTGGCCTTTTGTGCTACATGAGAACACAGTCTTTATGTCGTGCTATGTTCCAGAAATAAGCACAGTCCCTGGCTCAAAGTAGACATTCAGTAATTGTCAAATGAGTGATAAATCTTAGATTTGGATGAACCATTCAGTAGGTTCTTGTTAAACATAATCAATTTATTTGTGCAGCCATTAAGACTGAGGGAAAACCTGCTGATGTCAAGAAGATGACTGCCAAGTCTGCACCAGGTAATACTCCTTTAATTTGACCTAACTTGAAGCCTAATGAACCTCTATTCCTTACATGGCTTTAAGGATCCTCTTTTTTCTTTTCCCCATGAACCCTTGCTTTTTTGCAGCTGACTTGAGTCGCTCAAAGACCACCTCTACCAGTTCTGTAAAGAGAAACACCACTTCCACAGGGGCAGCACCCCCAGCAGGAATGACTTCCACGCGAGTCAAGCCCACGTCAGCACCTTCCCGGCCTTCTGTGGACAAGAAGCCCACCTTGGCTAAGCCTAGCTTCTCTGTGCCCAGGCTGAGCCGCCTAACCACCACTGCCTCTGCCTCTGCCCCTGATCTGAAAAATGTCCGCTCCAAGGTTGGTTCCATAGAAAACATCAAGCATCAGCCTGGAGGAGGCCGGGTGAGTTTAGGGAACTTGAATTTTAGCATGCTGGCCTCTGCTGCTTCTCTGCCACACCAGCCACCAAAGAAGGAGGCCTCTTAGACATTGCATTCAGCAGTAGGGAAATCCAGTCTGGGCTCTGGAGTGGCTTTGTACTGCAGTAGCTGGGTTGAGCTCTGTACTTTCTCTTCCCAACTCAGTCTGAGGGACTCCTGTTCTGTGTATTGGGGTTTAGTTTTACTTTTTCCCTGTAGCCCCAGCTTTCCTGGAACTCACTATGTAGACCAGGCTGGCCTTGAACTCACAGAAATCCGCCTGCCTCTGCCTCCCAAGTGCTGGGATTAAAGGTGTGTGCCACCACGCCAACGATTTTTCTTTTTTTTCTTTTTTTTTAATTTATTGTTTTTATTTTATTTTGCCTGCATGTATGTGAGTACACCTGTGTCGTGTGATGCTGTGGAGGTCAGAAGAGGGCTTCAGATTTCCCTGGAACTGGAGTTAAGGACGGTTCATAGCCACCATGTGGGTGCTGGGAATCGAACCCTGGTCCTTTGCAAAAGCAATCAGTGCTTTTAACTGCTGAGCCATCTCTCCAGCCCCTACTTTTTCTTTTTTTTAAGGTAGAAAAATTATTTTGTTTTATAAAAATTCTAGAGAGCTGGGCACAGTGGTTCATTCCTGAAATGTTAATACTCAGGAGGCAGTCAAGAGGATCACTGAGTTCAAGAACAAATGGGTCTACATACAGAGTTTCAGGCCGGCAAGGGCTACATAGCAAGGCCATGTCTCAAGGGGTTGGGGAGAGGACACAGAGAAAGCCTCAGAAGCTGTGAGGGCAGAGACACTGAATCTGAAGCCAGTTACTACGGTCCTTACCCTACACAATTCTACTTCTTTTTCCATCCTATGATATGGGAGGAGTCTATCAGAATAAGGATTGGGGAGCCCTCTAGTAGTCAAGAGAAGCTGTGCCATGAACCCACCACCACTACCTTCCACCCACCCACATATCTTTTCAAAGCCATTTTCCCTGGAGTATCCTTAAGGAAAAAGGAACAGGGGGCCACAGTACTTTACTTTAAGAACATTCTGGAGTGACAAGATGGCTCACAGTATAAAGGCACTAGCCACCAAGCTTGACAACCTGAGTTTGATCCACAGGACCCACGTGGTAGAGGGAGAAAACCAACTCCTACAAGTTGTCCTCGACTACCACACATGTGTTGTGGCATGAGAACATGTGCTTGTCCCCCCCCACACACACAAGTAAATGTTTTAAAATAAAAGAATCATATGTTAACTGTTAGCACCCACTGGGAGCCCAATGTGTGGAAGAAGCAGAGTTCATCTGAGAATGTCCACAACTCTGGAGTAGTTACAGCCTCATCTGTGTCATTTGCTAGCACTTGAGCTATACTGTCACCCCCAGGGTAGGCTATTTAAACTGCTTCAGTCTAGAGCTGTTAAAAATTGAGTAGGGGGGCTGGAGAGATGGGTCAGCACTGGCTACTCTTGCAGAGAACCCAGGTTCCATTCCCAGTACCCACATGATGTCTAACAACCATCCAAAACTCTGGTTCCAGGGGATCCAACACCCTCTTGTGACCTCTGAGGGCATTGCATGACATGGGTGTACTTACGTACATGCAGGCAATAACATTCATACACATAAAATAAAAATAAATTTAAAAAAATTTAACTGCTAAAAAATTGAGGTAGGGACAGAAATGAGGCAAAATTATGGCACATTTGTTAGCCATTGATGGCAAACTAGGATCATTCTGGGATAAAGGCCTCAGAGTTGCTTTTGGTACACAGTAGTCGTGCTAGCACATTCAGTCCAGCCTCTGGGCTGTGCCACAGATGGTCCCTTCTTCCCATCTTTGCTCTTCTTAGGCTTTCATGGGACAAAAAATTCAAGAGGTCTCGAATAACTTAGACTAGTGATTGGGTTATTCTGTTCCAGTATACTTGAAGAATGTCATCACCAGTGGTCAAACAGTGTACATGGACAGACACATCAGATCTTAGCCTTTGAGTCTTTCTTCCATAAATAGTGTGGTCTTTTCCTTTTCTCAAAACTTTGGTCTGCAGTTTCTCTTCCCTTGCTCCTTGCTCAGGGAGCTCTGCTGGTATAGGGTAGGAAATGTGTTTTTTCCTAGGAACAAGGATGGGCTGCTTCTGCCTAGAGGCCTGGCCTGGATTTGATTCTCTCCCACTCTCTTTTTTCCTGGCTTTTGGGCTCTCATCTCTGTTTGAAATTTGCCCTCGCTTTATCTCCATCCAGGCCAAAGTAGAGAAAAAAACAGAGGCAGCTACAACGGGAAAGCCTGAACCTAATGCAACCACTAAAACAGCGGGCTCCATTGCAAGTACACAGAAACCACCTGCCGGGAAAGTGAGTTTTATTTAGACTTAACCTCTGGGAGATCAAGTGGTACCATTCTCTCCTAGACTGAGTCATTTTCCCTTCTAGTCTACTCTGTTCCCCCTGCTCCTTCCTCTGATTGATGACTCAGCTGTCAGTTTTTATATCAGCCCTGAAAACTAACCGAGTTTTGAGCTCATTACCCCACTAGGAACTATGTACTTGGCTAGAAAAAAAAAGAAAAAAAGGAACTTTAAAACTGCCCTTCCTTGACATTTGAAACTCAACCTGATATGCATACAAATCTATCACACATAGATTTTTCCTTATGAGACATGACAGTGTCAGTCTTTCAGTACTCAGAAGCCTGCAGCCTTGTCCTCTAACCTTCTCACAAAGCTGTTCCTGAGGGATGTGGCTAGCTTCATCTCTTCTGATTCCCAGATTGTTTTGGTTTTTTGGTTTTGGTTTTTTTATTTTCCCTCTTGTGGTTCCTTGGAACTAACCAAGGGCTTTGTGCATGCTAGGTAAGCACTCTACCACTGAGCTGCATCATCAGCCTCTCTAGTTCATCTTTAAGCTGGAAGTTAGAATGCTCATCCACGGTAGAAACCCACACAGTTTAGGGGAAGCTAGTATCTGCTAGGGGGCAGAAGGAAACTGAAACCCCAGGTGCCTTCTTGTGACTGCCACACCCTGAAAATAGGTTCCTCTCACCTGCTGTGGCAGGCAGCTGGCTTGTCTGGGCTCTGGCCCTTGGGGACCAGGATAGAAAGTTTCTCAACCCCAGGAACTGCTTCCCTGAAAGTGCCAGGGCGAAGAAAGCTGCATCGTAGCTTCTAGGTCATCATTAGAAGACTGTCATCCTTTGGTTCAGAGCAGAGCTTATTAGGAAGTAGCTGACTAACAACTATTCATTGTTAATGTGAAGAAAGGAAGAACTGAGAAGCAGCATGGTAAGGTGTATGGGCGAGACTTCCACAGGGTGGGCTCTGTGTTTGATAGGCAAGGCAGCGTGGTTTGGTAGTCGTATCATTTGCAAAAGGCCTCTAGTTCTGAAGGAAGGGAGAAGGACACAGGGAGGGAGGGAGGAGAGGGGTTGGCAAGTATTCATTCTTGAGAGAGCTAAAGAAGAATTCTTTGTATTACTCAGTTCCAGGGCTGAAGACATACACAGTATGATTGAGCCCTGCAGATTATGCGTCATTGTAGCACCCTTTGAGCCTGTTGTCTTTGCACATGAAACTCACTAGGCACAGGATTAGACATAAGAAGGATTCAGGGGCTTTTAAAGCCAAGCATGGCGGGCTGGAGAGACGGCTCAGTGGTTAAGAGCACTGACTGCTCTTGCAGAGGACCCGGCTTCGAATCCCAGCACCCACATGGTGGCTACGAACCGTCCTTAACTCCAGTTCCAGGGGAATCCGAAGCCCTCTTCTGACCTCTGTGGCATTGTACGACACAGGTGCACTCACATACATGCAGGCAATACAGTCATACACATAAAATTAAAATATTAAAGCCAAGCTTGGTGGCTTTAATCCCAGCACTGATAAAGTTGAGGCAGAAGAATCAGGAATTTAAGGCCAGGTTGAGCTATATAGCAAGTTCTAGGCCAGTCTTATCTACATAGTGAGACCCTATTTCATAAAAATAAACAAAAGAGCAATTATTTTTTAAGTCTAGACCTAAGCCTCCACCACACAGCACTTTCTCAAGCCATTGAACAGATGGGCCAAGTGCAGAAGCTGCTGAGGCTGTGTCTTGTGCTCCCCCTGGTGTCGGGTATAGGATCCTGTGTCCATTTGCTTTTTTAAATATGAGCAATGTGTCTTCCTTCCTATTGGTATCAGATCTGTACTGTTAGCCAGCTTCCCAGTGATTCTCAAAGCAGCCTTTGTTTCCAGGGATGAGTCTGGCTGCAACAGTTCTAGGCTCCATACTGAAAGGGTGGGGACTGGTCCACAGCAGCAAGACCCACGCATAAAGAAGCCAGAGACCTTGTGTCTAGCTTGCCAAGAAGGGGCAGGGCAAGAAGTTGGGGCTGTGTTTGAGTGAGCATCGGGCCCGTTTCTGTCTGTGCCTTGGACCCCACAGCCCAGCCCCAAGGAGCAGTGAGGATGGCCACACAGCACTGCGTGGCACCACTTCTGTTGTCGTGTTGTTTGTTTACATTTTCACTCCCTATCTTGCTTTCAAATTCTTTTTCCTGTGTTTTCCTACCCCCATTCTGCCCAAAGTGGGGACAGACTTTAAGGACACTCTTTGTTGGCCAATTGTGATCACATGTGGACTCACTGCCTGCTGTGTCAGTTCTAACCAGCCCTCTCCTTTTGTGTTGTTTTTTGTTTTTTGCTTTTTGTTTTTTTCTGTTCTGTAACACTCCAGGTCCAGATAGTCTCCAAAAAAGTGAGCTACAGCCATATTCAATCCAAGTGTGGTTCCAAGGACAATATTAAGCATGTCCCTGGAGGTGGTAATGTAAGTATGAGCTCTGGCCAGTTGACATCTGAGGCTTAGCCCACTGTGGGAAACCCGAGGGAGAGGGCCACCTTTCCCTATGTGACAAAACCACAATGGCCTGGGCTGGGACTCTGTCCAAGAATTAGTCCAGCCCAGTGAAAGGAACTTAGAGGCCCATATGGTTTTACTGGGTATCCTGGTGAGCCCTAACCCACAATCAGTGACACCTAGGTGGTCTCTTCTCACTCTGATACCTGAGATTCCCTGGGTTTTCCTCCAGTTGGGTCAGAGACTCCTGAGGGCAGCAGGCCCATTACTTGTCTTAGGGCTATGCTTGGGATGCACACACTTCTCTGTGTGCATACACAGCTCCTGGTGGAATCTCTGCTCTGAGACAGACACCTGCATCCTCCCAAGGCCCATCCTTGAATCTGTCATGATGATGTCAGAATTAATCAGCATTTCCCCCTCCTGCTCCTACCTTTTCTTTATCCTTTCTTCATGTCTATTCTTTCTAGTCTCCTACCTTCTGTCTTTTTCTTTTCTTACCTTTCTTTTAGTCCCTTTCCTTTTTGCCTCTTCCATCTAAACACCCTTCTTTTATCACACAGCTATTCTTTATTAGCTCTGCTATGTTTTGGCGGTGCTGGTGATTACAGTTCACAGGGAGAATCGGTCCTAGGGAAAGACAGGGCAAGGGGTCATTGTCATTTCATGTATAAATTACACCCTGGGCATTTTCTACTTGTCCCATTGACAGTCCCTAGGCAAGTGGGACTCTGAAGATCTGTTTCAGGGGCATGTTACTTGGCCACCCACATGTAGCCCCTACCCTTGCCTCCCAATCAAGAGAAACTGACCCATGTTGACTTATCTTGGGTTCATTTGCTTCCTCACTGTCCTGAACTGGGTTATTTCACTTACCCTTCTCATTCTTTTTTCTTTTTCCTTTTTGGTCTTTTTGAGACAGGGTCTCCTGGCCTGGAACTCACTATGCAGACCAGGCTGGCCCTGAACTCACAGAGATCCGACTGTCTCTGCCTGGGATTAAAAGTGTACACCACCACATCCAGCCCCCTTCTCATTTTCCCTACTCTGAACCCCTGCTTCCTTGGATGCTGAAGCCCTTTCTGCCCATGGCCTACAGTTTTATTTTGAAGAGTACAGTCAAGAGCGTTCCTTCTTCCCCACTCAACCCCCTACCTGCACCTCCTTCCTAGTCATCTCACTATTGCACTTCTGGCACACAGCCTGCTTTGCACTCAGACTGTACCTAGCCAGCAGGTAATGGGACACACATCCCCCTGGGGATGAGGTCAGTTGCAGTGAGTAAAACTGAATTGACAGTACGTACCTCAGGGCCCAGCCTCTGAGACCAAGGTAGGCCCTGATCCTAGCAGCTTTTCCTCTTGGGTTCTTGGCCTGGGTGTATGTGAATGAACAGGAATCCTAAGGGAATAGGATCACTTATGTATATGACAGAAAAATTCGTTGTTTTGGGGACTGGAGATGTAGCTCAGTTGATAGAGTGCTTTCCTAGCATATATAAGATCCTGGATTCAATACCCAGCACTGCATAAACCACGTCTGGGTAGTGTATGCCTGTAATTCTAGTGTTGAGGAGATAGGTACAGCAGTATCATGAATCTGAGGCCAACTTGGACTACATGAGACTCTCTCAAAAAGAAAAAAAAGAATTCATTGTTTCATTTAATATATGTAAAAGTTCTGAATATAATCATCCACTAACATCTATTGGGATTATTCCATGCTGCCTACACATGATTTCAGCAAGAATTTTTTGGAGGGTAACTGTGCTTTAAGGAGGCTGTCTTGAGCACAGAACTTTAGAAAATTGTCTGGTCACATTTCCAGGGTGGAAGGTAGCATCTGGACAGAGATGCTATGGTTCCTTCCACAGCTTCTGTCGGCCCCTCCATAGTGCTACCACAGTAAACATGCTATTGAAACTAGCAGGCCAGAGCCAGCCATGGTGGCACACGCCTTTAGTCCCAGCACTTGAGAGTCAGAGGCAGGTGGATCTCTGTGAGTTCAAGGCCAGCCTGGTATACATAGCAAGTTCCAGGCCAGCTGGGGTTACCAAGGGGAAAAAAAAAAAGTAATTCTTTGGATGAGTAAACTGAGTGTGCTAGAGGCTTTGGCTGAGTGTATATGGCACTCCCTATCTCCTCTCATGCCACAGCACATGTGTAGCGCTCTAGAGGCAAGGGTGAGACTGTCTCAGGCAAGCCGACCATCGTACATAGTCTAGGCCTCAGACGGTGCGCAGCAGACACCACATCTGTCATTTGACTTGGTTGAGACCATGTTACCTGAAGAAGATTGGGCCTGAGATCGCCTAATTGAATTCTAAGCCAAAATGGTGACTAGCAGGGCCCATTGGACCATTGCATGAAAAACTGTTGGAAAGCCAGCCTCTTCTACAGGATCAAAAAGCAGCTGATCCTCTCCCAGGAAGTACAGAGTCCCCATCCAGGAACCCTGAAAGCACTCAAGTCTGTAGGTGCTGCTGCTAGATTAAAGAGGTATGCCATCAGTCCTAGTACTGATATGTTTTCCCAGAATTCCTGGAGGACAGATACTGATGAAAATATGGTGGCTACATTGGAAGCAGGGCCAAGCCCAAAAGACACCCAAACTAGTCTCCAGCACAGTATGTATCTGTGCTGTGACCCATTTAGGATCAATAATCTTGTGAGGCAGTTCATTATATTGGTGGTTCTTCAGGCACAGTATCTGTAAACAAAAAGGCCTGCAAGAGGCCTATAGAAAGCAAGAAAGCAGATTGATCACTGCAGACATAGCACTCCAGGCTACTGGGTACAGGCTCTAGGAACACCCAGGATTGTGGCTGCTCTTCCCCTGACTGGTGGGAAGGAGGTACTGTTCACAGGAGAGTGCAAGGCCTATCATCAATGGCTAGTCAGTACATGAAAAAGGTTGCCTGGGACCCCAGGCATGGTAGCTCATGCCTTTATTCCCAAGCAGAGGCAGGCAGATCTCTGTGAGTTCCAGGCCAGCTGGGGCTACAGAGAGACTGTTTCAAAAGGACCAAAACAGAAAGAAAAAGGTTAGCCTGAATAAAGGATTTAGCATCCATGCGAGGTGGTGCTTGCCCGCATTCCCAGTGTGCTGGGGGCAAAGGCCAGCAACAGAGTGAGACCCCGTCTCAAAGTAAATTAATAATGATGGCTAAAATGATGTATTTTTTTCATAAAGCAGCAAGGTTTTTTTCTTTAATGAAAACACCTGATGCTAGGATATGATGAGGTAGACCCACAAAAGCTCTGCCAGTGGGTTATCAGCATGGTGCTTCCAAAAGTAATCTTATATCAAACTGTAAACAGAAGATTTTGAAAACAGCCTCAGTCTTTAATGAGGTAACTGATCTGGGCATTGGGCCCGAGGGAGGTGTCAGGGTTGCAGACACTTGTGTTTGCAAAAATGCCCTATCTGGAGTGAGTGCTGAGCAGTAGCATTGGGCTTACTCAGCTTTAGATAGGATAGTATCAATTATTTTGCATCAGCCAATAAGAAAAGAAGCCGAAGTTCTAGTCCGAGCTGAAGTTCTCTGGGCAAGGAATTGATAGTAAGTTTTTGAAGTGGAACAAAAAGGACATGGTGTGGTGGCCCACACCTTTAGTCCCAGCCCTCAGGACGCAGAGGCAGGTGGATCTCTCTGAGTTCCAGGCCATCTAGGGCTATAGGGAGACCCTGTCTCAAAGAAACCAAAAAATGGGTAGTAGGGACATTTCAGGAGAACCTTGATATTGGTGTTTGAACCCTGCACAGTGGGAGAAGATCTCTGTGGAAGGTAGAGGGAGAGGCTAGGAGCAGGGTAGTGGCTTAGTCTGCTGGGAATTCATGTCAGAAATGAGAAGGGTCAGGTTACATCATGGACTCTTTTAAGCACTTTAGGTCTCCTTGACCTTAAACAGACTAAAAGGGACTTACAAAAGGAGAGAAAAACTGGAAGGAAGCCGGGTGTGGTGGCGCACGCCTTTAATCCCAGCACTCAGAGCAGGCAGAGGCAGGCAGATCTCTGAGTTCGAGGCCAGCCTGGTCTCCATAGCGAATCCAGGCCAGCTTAGGGCTACAGGGAGACCCTGTCTCAAAAAGAACCCCCCCCAAAAAAAAAAAACTGGAAGGAGATCATGAAGGTAGGATGGGTTTGGCCCTGGCAGGCACCTTCTCTCTGAGGGGTAATTGCTTCCTATTCTTCCTAGGTTCAGATTCAGAACAAGAAAGTGGACATCTCCAAGGTCTCCTCCAAGTGCGGGTCCAAAGCTAATATCAAGCACAAGCCTGGTGAGTGGCACCACCCTTGCGTGCTGGGACTCCCTGGGTAGGTGGGCCTGCATGGATCAGCTGGACAGCCCTCTGGCTGTGAAGGGTTTCATGCTATAATAATTCAAAGCCAGTTCAGGAAAGATGGCTCACAAGTCCCAAGTGTGAAGATTGGATCTCAGAACCCACATAAATGTCAGGTAGACATAGCAACCCAACTATAATTCCAGCCTTTGGAAAGTAGAGGTGGGAACCCCAGTGCAAACTGGCTAACTAGACTAAACATATTGGCAAGCTCTGGGTTCCCTTGAGAGGCCCTGCCTCAGTAAATAAGGTTAATAGCAGCTGAGGATGATTCTGAACATCAGCTTCTGCATAAGTATCAGCACTCACACACCCACAAACATACATACTTCATTCAAACACCTCAGGAGAGGGGGAGAGAGAGGGAGAGGGGGAGAGAGAGGGAGGGAGGGAGGGAGAGAGAGAGAGAGAGAATTAGAAAACAATTCTGAGCCTATCCTACAGAGGGAGAGAAGAAGGAAGAAGAAGAGGAAGAGGAGGAGGAGGAAGAGGAGGGGAGAGAGACACAAGCAACTCTGAGCCACATCCCACCCAGAGTACCTGACAAACAGCACAGCTTTCTATCCCTGCCAGAAATGGCAGTTGGCTGCTGCCTCTCAATTGGAGGAGGAACAGTTTGTTAGGGCCATTTGCACAGGCATTCCCTTGCTGATACTTACCCTATTCCTGACCATCTGTGTGCTAATGTGCCTGGTGCTGTTGGCATGGGCCAGCCTCCCAGATGAGCATTCCAGTAGTTAGTGCTGGAGTGGTGGTTCTGACTCACTTCTCAGATCCAGCAGCAAATGATGCTCCCAAGCCCAGCCCTCAACACTTAGCCTTAACAGGAACAGGAAGAACATTTGGAATGCTATCTAGGCCTAAGGTCCTGGCTCCTGTCCTGGCTCCTGAAACTACTAGCTTTTCCTTCCAGTAGCATTATTGGCCCAATGTTCCACAGAGGCCTCTGAGCAGAGCCTGGGCACTTGCCTTGGTTCATCTGCCCTGGATCCACAGCAGACCTAGAAGTTAGGTCTTACTGCTACTACACCAGCTAGCACACTGGTCAGCAGAACTGATGTCTCATGAGATCAGCTACCCTAGGCCAGTTAAAGTGAAGGCACAGGAAATTCCCTTCCCTCTCTGTTGGTTTGTTTTACTTTTTTGGTTGGTCCTTTTTTTTAAAACAATGTCTCACTCAGTAGCCCAGGATGGTTTCAAGCTTGTGGGAATTCTGCCTGAGCCTTCTAAGAGTTAGTATTATGAGATGTAATTAACTGTGTATTCTTTTGTAAAAGACCAAACCATTTTGTTTTTTACTAATCTTTTATCCCACTCCCTTTTAATCTGAAAAACTCACTTCTATGAGATGCCTCCTTGCTCTAGTGGCATGGAGTGACTTGACGCCTAGTATTTGTCAGGGCTAGCAGCTATAGGGAGAAGGAGACCTAGAGTTCATTAGGAAAACAGGTAGATGTGAGCTCAGTGGAGATGGAAGAGGAGAGAAGACTCAGAGGGTTAGGGCTGCAGAGGGCAGTCCTCTTCTTGAGCCCCAGTCTTAAACAGTATATGCTTATGTACAGTTCCACCCCAGCCTGAGAGTACTTGATCTTGGAGCTAGCCTGAACCTGGTCCCGTTGACCTTTTCTCAACTCCTGAGGCCACTCTCTCCTTTTCCGTGCGTGACCCAGGCAAGCAATACTCACATTGTGACCCTGCCATCTATAGCTTCGAGATGCCTTTAAAAGCAAGTCCACTTCTCTTTCCTAGTATCAGCTTTAGCAGCCATAAAAAGAGAATCAGGACCCTGGCTGACAGGGAACTCAAGAGATCAAGGAGGCTGTGGAAAGAAATACCACCTGGCCCAGAGCAGGGCCTACAGTGGTAGTGAGGACAGCCTTCCCTTCTAGGGAGGTTCCCACTACCACAGGCTGACAGGCAGGGTCACCACTGCCTCACTTGTCCTTAGACCATCCTGGAGCAGGTCATATTTTCCTTATTTCTAGATGGGCAGATAAGTAATCCGAGGCCAAGCTGAGATTCCTCTCCTGGCTCCTGGCTCCTGGCCTTGCCAACAGGGTTGTTCTCCTGCCACCCTCAGTGATCAGTTCCTTTATGTTTCAGGTGGAGGAGATGTCAAGATTGAAAGTCAGAAGTTGAACTTCAAGGAGAAGGCCCAGGCCAAGGTTGGATCCCTTGATAATGTGGGCCACCTACCTGCAGGAGGTGCCGTGAAGGTAGTAAGTGGTTGACCAGAGCGGGCATTGCTAGGGCAATGGGGACAAAAGAGCAGGGATCAGGGATTTCACAGGTCTGTCACTGCCCTTCAGTTTCTTCAGGAGTCATATCTTCAGCCACACCATTGCTGTTTCCATCACCATTAGTCCAGAGTGAGGCAGAGGAGGTGCAGGGCCTCAGCCACTTCTTGGCTAGTGACACAATCTGTTCCTGAGAGCCATGGACTGCCTTATTGGGCCCATCCCAGCCATTTTATGAGGGACTGTGGGCTGGACACAGATGACAAGGCAAGCTGGAGTTTTACACTCAGTTCCTGACTGTCATTTTCAACTACCAGAAGCAGCAGGCCTAGTGTGTCCTGTCCTCTAGGGGGCCTGTTCATGGCCCATCCTGCCTCAATCTCTGGGAGAGAACTGAGGCAAGGGCATACTACCTCCATATTTAACGCTGGCTGGGCCCCTCCTCTCTTTCCTCCCTCTCCTTTCCCTCCTCCCTCCTTCCACAGTAATGTGAGACCCTTCATGTGCCAAGATGCTGTCTGTTCTCCCTTCCATTGTCATGGGTGGATGGGAAGACCTGTGTGAGCAGGGTCTTGTAGGCTTCCAAGCATAAAGAAAGGAAAAGTGAGGCTTCCAAGTATAGGCTTCCAAGCAGCCTCTGGGCCTTCCCTGGGGCCTCTGGGCCTTCCCTGGGGCCTCTGGGCCTTCCCTGGGGCTGCTCCTTCTGCAGCCATCCTTTCTCCCATCCTCGGTCTCCCACCCTTGGTCCACTCCAGTGAACGTTTTGGGTATCTTTGCTCTACAAGCTCTCAGTTTGTGACACCCACCCACCTCCCCCACACATTCACCACCTTGTGAAGATGTCATTCTTCAGTCTTTCTCAGTGGGACATTACAGATTTGGTATTTGTTCAAGGCCATAACAGGAAGTGGTTGCAGACCAGAATTCACACCCAGGCTTTTCTGACCTGTCTTATTCTTTCCTTCCTTCCCTCCCTCCCTCCTTCCTTTCTTATTTTCCTCTTTGAGACAGGGTCTCCCTGTAGCCCCAGGCTGGCCTCAACCTCCCCAGTGCTGGGATTAAAGGAGTGCACCACCACGCCCGGCTACTCTTTTCTTTATGTTTTCTCTCTGTGTTATTCCTTGTCTTCTTTTCTGATATGCCAGTCTGTCTCTTTGACTATTCTTAAAACAACTAATGGAGGAGATCCATTGTCACTTGTTGGGCATTCTGGGGCACAGGTGTTCCAACTTACTGGAAAGCTCCTACAGTTGTGCCCTCTTTCAAACTTGACTCCTCATACTGCAATGTTCAATGTCCCCAAGATGACTTCTTCCTGTAAAGCCCAACAGGCCCCTGGAGTGTCCCTGGGTCACACACTTCAGATACCTTCTTCCTGCCTCCTCTGTGTCCATAGGCCCTAGAATGGAGAGCATAGAAGCTGCAGTGTTAGCAGACCTTACCACATAAACGAGCAGACAGCCTGCCCAGTTAGTTACCAAGGACCCCTCTCTAAGCACAGGGCCTAGGCCACTGCAGTGAGCCTGCCCCTCAGGCTTGCTGTTCTGATTGGTAAGAGTCCCCATGCTTCTCTCCATAGAGAGGCTTCACAGAGTTCCACAGATGAGACCCCTGAGTGTCACTAGCCCACCTGCTCTAAAGCCTTGAGAGTCATTTTTGGGGGAGGAGGGACCATCACCTAGTCCACAGCCAGTGGGTGCTGGGCATGCGAGGGGGTACTACGTATGAAATCCATCACCATCACCCCATCCCACTCCCTCCCCAACTGACCCTTCACTGTCTCCCCCACTGTTTCATTGTAGACTGAGGGCGGTGGCAGTGAGGCCCCTCCATGTCCCAGCCCTCCTGCTGGGGAGGAGCTGGCCGTCTCTGAGGCAGCGCCTGAAGCTGGCGCCCCTACTTCAGCCTGTGTCCTCAGTGGTCACGCCACCCTGTCAGGGGGTGGTGATCAAAGGGAGCCCCAGACCTTGGACAGCCAGATCCAGGAGACAAGTAAGTGGCTGGGCTTGGCCTAAGGGCCAGCCAGGGGCCCTGTCACTGGCTGAAAATTGAAACTCCTTTGTTTTTTGACTGGAGTGTGCCCTAAATTTTAACAGTCACCTTTTATCTTCCAGGCATCTAATGATGACATTCTGGTCTCGTCTTCCGTCTCCCCTGTGTTCCCTCTCGTCTGTCCCCTCTTGCCCTCTTCCCTTCCCTCCTCCCGTGTCAACTGCAGATTGAGACCTACAGGCTGACGTTCCGGGCAAATGCCAGGGCCCGCACCGACCATGGGGCCGACATTGTCTCCCGACCCCCCAACTTCCCTGGTGGCCCCAGCTTGGGCTCCCGGGCTCTTGGCTCCCTTTCCCGGGCTGTGTACTAGACTTGTGAGCTCTTGAGTGCTGGGCAACCCTGTAGGCCCCTTTTCCTTCTGCCTCGCTTGCTCAGGGCAGCAGCAGCCCTGCCTCCACATCTCCTCCTGCCCCTGCTGGACCCTGCTCCAACTTCATTCCTGTCCCATCACCACACCATGGCTTCATGGAGAAAGCTGGGAGGGGAGTGGAGTCTGGTGGGATCCCATAGGATCTAGGAGGGGGAGCCGGACTCCAGCCTCCTGTTTGGTTTTTTTGGACCAAACCCAAAAGAAACTGACATACTCTCCCTCCTCCCTGGGACAACCTGGAGGGACTAGTGGAGGTGGATTACATGTGATGACCAGTGCTGCCTGTATCCCCTAAGCCACTGCCTCTCTGACTCCTCAGTGGAGACCACCATGTAGGTGGCACCAAGCACTCTTGCTGCCTTGACCCAAATTAGTTAGGAGTCAGTGCCATTTGTCCCCATTGCCTACCGTACCTGCCTAGCTGCTGCCTCACTTTTTTTCTTATTTTATTCTTTTTCTTTCCCTTCCCAATAACCTATGAACTGGTGGCATAGTTTACAGGTTGAAGCCATGTCTAAATGAGAGTTCTCAGTAGGTGATGAAGGATGCAGGGAGGGTGGTCCTGAGTCTCCACCCAGGAGGCTGTCGGGCATTGGGGGCTGCCATGCTTCAGGCAACTTGGGGCCCTGTAGGAAGGGAAGTGAGATGCGGGGCTATGGCCTAGTGAACAGTTGGGCAACTAGGGCTGGTCAGTGTGGACTGGTTGTGTTCCCATTGTATGTGTATGCTGCTTTTCTTTTCTAACCAAGAAGCTGTTTTGGCATCTGTCTCATTCCCTGGGATCTGGTAGTCAACCATGCGATACAAAACAAGGGCCGGAGAAACAGGAATGAAGGTCAGAATCCCCAAGCCTACATATGAAGACCAAGACACCCAAACCCTCATGTCCAGAGGAGCCTGAGATGTCCAAAACATGTGAACAGTGGGGAATCAGGTGTGGAAATTTAAAAATAAAACACATGAGACAGGCCATCCCACTTTCCGTCTGGTCTGCCTAGAGAGAGGAGACCAGCCTTAGGTGGGGCAGTCATCCTAGCTTAGTCTGCTCATGTGGGTCAGATGGCTGCAATGATGAGAAATCCTGGGAATTGTATCGACACAGATTCTTATTGCACTTGTATTTTTTGTATTAAAGTTTGCATGGTTTCTAATAAAGGATTCAAACCTAAGTTTGTAGTGAAATGGTCTGGAGTGTCCAAGGGCTCCTCTGGTGAGGCATTTCCTGCTGTGCAGACTTGCCTCTGAGGAGGGCTGGCCCAGACTTAACCTCTTTGACCACAACCTCCACCTGCTCCTTGGAGCCCCTGGAGCTAGAGCAGGCAGACATTTTCACTATTTTTCTGTGGAGGGAGAGCATCCCTGGGCCTTAAGGGCCTCTACATTTCTGAGGCATCAGTTTCTTTTAGGAAATCTTGACACTATATCCCTCGCATCCCAAACATACACAAGAAATTGCAGAGACGTGGAAAAAGCGCTGCCTGAGCCAGGGAACTTCCTCCCCAGACTGGTTGCAAAATGTTCTAAGTGTGCCCGGAGGCTTAGACATCAGTGTTTTGTCAACAAGGGGCAAGACAGAACTGGGAAGAAAGCAGTGGGGGCCAGGGTGGTACTGGCTGAGGGCACAAAGGTACTTAACTATATACCCTTGTTGGTGTTGGTCCTGGGGCTTTAGGATGCTGAAGTTAAAAACGGGTTCAGAGTCCTTTACTTCGCCAAGGATGAGAGAAAGGTGGCATAAGCTCTCTAGGTAGGCCACAGATGGTCAGTGGTTCTGAAGAGGTGGTCTGGTCCCAGCTGGTCCCACAAGCCAAGAGAACCTGAGAAGGCTGGTCTGGCAGATGGGACCACATGATGTGTACACTGCTACATTTTGGGGTGGGGCTTTTCTGTATCTTCCAGTTTGTACTGATTTCAGAATAAAGCTGCCGACATCCCATCATGCAGCCTATGTTGCTTCTCTTGTTAGTCCCCACACTCCGCTGTTCCCCTTGTGCCCAGTTGGCACAGTGAGACATGGGTGTGATCAAAGGGCAGTGTTCATGGCAGGAATGTCGTACCAATCAAGGCTGCCTGGAAAAGGGGCTGTTTGACCCTTGCTATCTAAACCTACAAGGACACTGATCTAACAGCTCCATGCTGGGAGTAGCCAAGCAGTTGCAATGTGCTGACAACCCAGATGGCTCTCTCTC